CGATTGGCTCTCGATCAACGTTGTATAAGGTGCGATGATGCATCATCATGATGATGCACCAACAGTGACGTATCGAAGAGCATATTTAAGCTGTTACGTGAATTTGCGGGGAATGTTATTGATGTAGATAAGACAGCAATAGTAGGCTCATTCCTCAGAGAAAAACAGGGAGAATGGAGAAAGAGATGTGTTGATATTTCGGCAACATGCCTGAATCGAAACGAACAGCGAAATTGATTCACTTCTGCTATCTGCCTGTCCCATACCGCACAACGCTTAAAATCTGCGTTTGCTGCTATTCACTCCTCGGTCCTCAATTCTCAGTCGGTCGCCATGCCGTCGGGGCCGGAGCCGGTCGCCGCTCGCCATGTTTCGTGGCCGGAGCCGGTCGCCGGTCGCCATGCCGTCGGGGCCGGAGCCGGTCGCCGCTCGCCATGTTTCGTGGTCGGCCGGGGCAGTGTGGCCCGCGAGACGAACACTTGCTGCTGATTGCTACAGCGGGGAGGTTGTTCGAGCCTTCCCACTTTGTCAGATGATGATTTGAAATACGGAATCGCCCGACCGATGCGTTTGTCGTGAATGGATTTGAGGAGAACTGAAATGAGAGAACGTGCGTTGAAAAAAACCCAACAAAATAGCCCTCCTGGCCAGGTACACGAATGTCGTGTTAAACTGTAGATCTGTTTTGCGGATCAGGTAGAACCGGGATGGTGACGGGCTGCATCCTAAAAACCACCCAACACCGGCAACGCATCGTGGCCGACGTGGATGAATAAGAGTGTGGTGTTGGTCGCCAGTGCTGTCGTCAGTGGGACAGCTGTCAGACCGACTGGGGACGGGACGCAGGACGGCGTACTGGTGGTCATAAACCAATCAAAGCAAACCGGTAGGCCGGCGTATTGGCGACAACAGTAACCCTGCCACCGGCTAAGGTCGGGAGTGGGGAGAGTGGGCTAACTGCGGTGCAGTGCACGAGCTGGGGAGCTGTTGGGAATTTATGGGTTTGGAGGATGGAGGGTGTCTGATGGTCGCATTGAAACGCTTGCCGTTGATTGTTACCAGAAGGTGGGCACGCATCACCTCACAAATGCAAACAATGTGTCATGCGTTGGGTACGTTTCGGTTGGATGCGAACTAAGGTTAACGCGCATCGAATAAGATAGATCGAGTTTGTAAATATTTCAGGTATACATAAGTGAATCCCCACCCGGCATACTGGGTGCTCCGGTCTTTCTAATTGGTGCCTTCTCTTGCGCTGGCGGGGCATTCTGTGTTTGTAGTGGGGTCAAGGGTGGATCATTTCGGGACTCTTGTCGACCAATGAGGCGTGATGTTGACAATCTTGGGCCTCTTACGGGTCAGATCAGATGTTTTCTCCAACGTGCCTTAACCCTCGGCCTGGTAGGAGGGGGGGGGGGGGGGGAAGATACAACTCCCCTCAGGAGGATGCCTCCCGGCATGCTGCGTGATCGCGCCCACATTTTCAGTAACTTGTGAGGCGTCCATTTGTCTGTTTTGACACAAAAATCGTGTTCCTAGCTTTTCTGGTTCCGGAGCAGCGACGGTTGTTGGGAAAACTGCACGGCGATATACGACCGACGCGTGCGACGGGCAGCAACCAACGATGCCTTGGAGCGCCCGCGACGGACCGACATTGTTACATTAACGCAGCGATATATCATAGCTGTGTGCTCAAAAAGCGTACAAATACATCATTGGACACAGAATGGAACATTAAACCCACCTGTTAAAGTTTTGTGGCGCTGCAAGGAGCTACATTGCATGCATAATGCTGCAAAACTGGAAAGGTGAGATTTTCGGGAAAGTTCGACCTTTGACATGCCATAATGGGCTCAAATATTAAACCAACAGCCAATCCATAAAACAAACAGTACCAATCGCGAGATGTCGTTGAGACCAAACCATTGGTGTTTTCCACCAATTCTGATTGGAAACGCGAGAGGGGTCGTGATCCTCCGCCCATCAGTCTGAGTTAGGAAAACGGCCAGTGAGGACGAGGATCAAGGGCCATTCTTTTGATTTGATGGAGATGCATACAAGAATCGCAAAAAACGTTAACACGTGCATTGTCCGCCGGTGGCGCTGGCAGCGATTATTTTGTGCTATGTCCACTTGCCGAGGGCATATTTCAAGCATAGTCTCTCCAGGACCCGGGTGCCGTGTTTCTAGCAGAACACATTCTACACATGCCCGTTCAGGACCCTGAACAAACTGGTTATCCGGAGAGTGACAGTCCTGTAAAAACTCCCATTTTTGAAATGCGTGAAAGCAACCGCAGTACCAGCCGCCTTCTTTTGCAGAAGGGCAGAGTAATGCGCGCTAATATTGTCACCAGCAATAATACACTTTTACGTTAACCATCGCTGGATGCCACAGTTACAGCGGAGCGATACATGATCTTCTGTTAACGAATCATCCTAGCCGATTGTAATTCTTCGCGGTGACCCATGCTAAGGCTTGAGGCTCAGCGCTGTTCAAATTCATTGCGGCGGCATTTAAAGGCATTTGACTCCCCTTGCCAGATCAGATGGGATGGGTGATAATCTTTTAGTTTACAACAGTTCTCCGCAACCCTTCACTGCGCCAGGCGGGGGCGCTGCACAGGCCGCCGCGCCCGGAACGGTCGCGTCGGTCCCCGTGCGTTGGCCAAACGCTATGAGCAGCATGACTGCCAGACGCATGCAACAGGAATCCTTTTGGGATTTAAGCTTTGTTTGTTACTCGGTTAGCTTACGTCGAATCGAAGCACTAAGATCTAACATTTGACTCTTCTCTACATTGGGGACCGATTTGCAACAGATTTTGCGCAAACGCGGTCATTGGTTTGCTAAAGGTTGATGAATTTTGCTAACTTAAATATCCAATGTCATGTTTATCAAACGCGCGGGAAGATGAATACATTTTATGTATTCAAAATCCATTTGAGCATCAAGCGTTTGAGAGGATAAACACATCATGCGTTCGTATTCGTACCATTACATCTCAGAATATTTCCCTTACATCTCAGCTTGTAGCCCTTGATCAACTTGGTTCGATATTTGTTTATTCTTCTTTGATTGGAAAAGAATTAAGAATAATAATCCCGGAGATTAAAAATTAAATAATGGCATCACCTCATCAAGTAAAAGTAAAAAGCTTAATAACATTTTACTGTCTTTTAAGGAAACGTTGCAACAAATCAGCGGTGCAACACTTTCGGCCGCTGGTAGATCACAAAATGCCGGCACCTACCGCCGCCGTCCAGCGCCCAGCGGCCGCCGCTGTCGTCCAGTGGTATGCCGTCGCCATTACAACTGCCCAGTGTTGCCAGTGCTGCCACTGCCGCTGCTGTATGCTACTGTTGAGTCGCTGCCGCCGTTGCTTCTGTACAGTGCTGCACCAACGCTCACCACGGCTCAAGCGAGGCTGCTTCTTAAGTTTGCGAGAGCACGATGGCCATCCCTCCGTTAAGGCAGGGGAGAAGCTCTTTTCTCTATTAGAGTAGATATATGTTATTTGTCACTGAAAACGTATGCACGAAAATCAGAAAAGTTTTCTGATCGCGATGTGGGACTCTATGATCCTACTCAATCCAGTGGCCGCTTTTGGGGACTGAAAGGATTGGCGTGATGGTAATGACCGCCCACAACGCAACTAAAAGGTGCAAACGTGTGTGTTTCCGAAAAAGTGGCAGGTTTTGTCGTCAAAATGTGGAGTGCACCCATCTCGCTATCATTTCTGTCTTTAATTCATAAGAACCTAAATTTACTTCATAAAACGGAAACAACCACAACAAAAACTAAATGACCGGAGCTCGATCGGTGTTTTGGGGTGAGTGGAGGTCAAGCGGTGAAGGGAGTATTTACTTTCGCCTGTGCTTGGCGGCTGAATCGGCCATTAGGTGGCCCCCCCAAAACTTTTCAAGAAATTGACACCCCTGTAACTAATACTTAGCCATGGCCAACGGGTGGACGAAAATGATGACGCTTCTGAAAGACATGCCTTTGGGCAGCTTAATCGGTTATTGATAGCAATTATATAACGTAGTTTGGAGCATTTGCGCTCGCAAATCTTAGCAGCAAAACTTCGACGCCAGGCGTTACAGTCTTTGCAAGCAGCGCAGGGCCAGCCCACTGGCTAATATTGAGCTGTGGCCAACGGGTGGATAAACATGATGACGGTTTAGTACCTTTTTAGCTGAAATAAGTACCTTTGTACGCTTCAGGACACCAATTCTTGCCTTTGAAAGATAGTCTTGGTGTACATTTCATCGGCTCGATTTTGAGATTGATGATGAAATCGGATTGGGCTTAACAGCACCGTGAAGTGGTGCTAGAATCTGGTGGTGGATCTGCCGCTTCAGCTACGTCCCGCTGCGTAAAGGCAGAATCTCTGTTTTTCGTGCTGCTGTAGCTGCTATCCGGACAGATTAACCACGGCGCCCGCCTTCTAGTGTGACTTGCAGTGGCCAACGCCGTTCGGTTTTGGGTAAACTGCAATTCATCCATCGTAATCCAATTCATCCATCGTAATCCAGTTCATCCATCGTAATCCTCGCTCCTGAGATTGCGCTCACTCGCATTTCCGCAAATCTTCGAGCGCAAAAGTTGTTTGGACCATAGGCCCATCACTTGCATCCCACGCTTCCATCCGGCTCATACCGCTTAATTAGCACGTGCTGAAATGACACAGGGCCAATGTTAAGCTTAATCGGGTTCAGCTTCCGGGAACAACTCCTGGATGTCGTGGTCTGGCACCAGTAGCAAATCCGAAAGACGGGATTGCTGGCACTCGTGAGATTAGGTCTCGGGTCAAAAACCTCATCTGGCTATCGCCGAGCCCCCCCCCCCCCCTCTCGATCCTCGAGCTCGATACGCCTGTGCATCGCCTAGCTGACTTCGCTGCCGCGTGGATCTGGCCTCTGTGTCAGAGACTGTACGGGCGCCGCGGTGCCGGGCGCCGTACCTGGCCGATTTAGGTTAATGTCGGGCCGGCCGGGCTGGCGTCTGTGCGCAGTCGAGGCCGGTGCGTTGGGGTGACTGTGTGCTGGTGGTGGCGGTCCGAGCTCCGACACAGACGCCGCCGATCGGATCAGCTCTGCTGACCAGGTAAGCCAGCCGCGCAGCACCAGATGATCGTGCACGAGCAAGGGGCATCCTCATCGCTGCTGAACTCAGTCGCCGTCCTCAGACGAGTGGCGGGTGGGGATGTGTCCTGGCTTGGGATATGGAGCATCCTGTACGGTTTTGTGTGTGTTTTTTTGCAATAGGGCATGCTCCGGCCCGCTGCCTTACCTTATATCATGTGACATGTCTCACGTCAAGTAACTACGGATTGGTAAAAGGCAGGTGATGCACAAATCTGTACGTGTCCCTTATTCATGGTCAAATATGCACCGTTCCAACAGCCATCATCTGAAATTTGACGTCATGCCACAATTTCCTGGGATCGTTCACTATGTGGGGCTTGTCACCTCAAATCTTAACTTTTGTTAAGAGAGAAGCTAAACGTATAGTTTTGATCCTCTTAATGCCACAACTGCGCGTGCAGCTACCATATCACCTCACCGCTTTTAATTCACTGCACTTCGTTGTTTTTCTTCTTTGGCTTTGTTAGCCGAATTACCCGGAGGCCTGCCTTTGATGGGATAAAATGACAGAAAAACAGCGTATTTCTTGCTCTCACGGAACCTGTGTCCTATTTTAAGACAAATTTGCTCAGTGTAACCCCCATCCGCCCCTTTTCCTCCATCAATGCGCCACTTATACCTTAATGGCGTCCAAAAAGCGGCATCAATGGGACTCCCTCGCCATTGGCACCAGACAGTACCCTAGTCGAGTCGTCGCGTCAGCCGCTGGAGCTGCCGACTGCGCTGCTCCTGGCCGCGCTCAGCGTCGACCACCTGCCGGCCACGGCGTCCGTTGCCATGTCGGCCGGAGCCGTGTGCCAGAAACGGGCGCCGCCGGCGGCCGCGTGGCCCACTGGAGTTGGGCCGCTGCCGCTGCCGCCGTCCGGCCGCCCGGCCGGCCGCAGCATGCGCAAAGTCATGGCCATCGCCGGCGGCCGCGCGCTGGCCCGGATATGGTCGGCGCTGCCGCTGCCGCCGCCGCCATCCACTCGTCCGGGTGGTGCTGGTGGCCTGCTTGGCGGCACGGCCCAGGCCGGCTCTGTCGCCACGCAGGCTCAACAGAAGCGCTGACGGCAGCTGCTGACGGTAGCGCCAGAAAACCGCTTCAAAGGTGACTGGAATCGTTCTCAAGCAGGAAGTTCTAGGACTGCTCGTTGTTGCAAGATGCCAAAAGTGGTGTGACACATTTTTAGGTCACTTTTTACACTGTTGGCGGAAGAAATGTCGCCTAATATTGGATAAGTCATTTATCTTTACGTACCATACCACCAAGTCCTTTTTGCGCGTTTCACGCAAAGCATTTAACGAAAGGATTTAATGTTTGTTGCAAGTTACAGTCTGGAATACGCGGTGAAGACCACTGTCGCAACACAATTCACACCCTCCGTGTCCAACCCATATGCCACGCAAACCGCTGCTGCCCATTCTATATAATACACCACCAATATATTCCGCGGATTGTGGCGCTCCACATCAGCGCGCCACCACAAGCGTGAGAAGCACGTCCGACGTGACGCAGCATACGGTCGGCCCCGTCGTGTCCCCGGCCGCGCGCCGAGAAGCGCCTCGCCGGCGGCGGCGCCGCCTGCTGGTCGCGCTCTAACGGTGCGCCGTCCTCCGACGCCTGCTGAGTCGCGGTCGGCGGGACTGACGCGGCGGCGCGCCGAGTCTGCTGACCCACTGCGGGCGGTGTCCCGGGCCCGCGCCGCGCTGACCCCCTTGGCGCGAGGGCCGTACAGGCAGACAGCGCGAGCCGCGGCCTTGTCGATGGCCGGGAGGGGACTTGGTGGATAGTTCGCGGCTGTTAATGTGGCATGAGTTACGTTCTGTGTTGTGCTTGAGGCTATGCACCATAAATGCCGCCCGGATATGACAGAAGCGGCTTATTGTGGCCGGCGATTGGTAACTGCCACTGATGAGGCACCGTGTGTTTCCTTGCCAAATATCTGCGTAATCCTATAGCACGAAGCACTAGCACCTTCCAACGTCAACGGTCAATAGTTATTTAGTGGCCCCCGATTCTGGTCTGACCTGAGATCCATGACAGCTTTGCACAGTATTTCCTCTAGATCTTCAGGGATTGGAAACACTGCTATGAAATAGATAAAGTCAAGTTCCGTGACTTGGTACAAAAGTTTTGTTACCCTACATCGATCAGTGCAAAACATTTCATAGTTTGTCACCACGTTTCATCTCAGAGAGGCCAATCTGAGGATCTGTTCGTTAGTTCCATACACCATTTCGCACACTCCGTATCTGGCTGCGACTAGGGAACCGCGTCATTGTCGGCTGGTCCTGATCTACGCACCTCTTATCCGGGCCATCTTCCCTGCTGACGGGATCGGCCGATCGGTCAGCCGACGCACAACCCACCCGACCGCCGGGTCAGGGGTCGGCCGGCCGAAGCAGACGAGCGCTGATGGGGCTCCGGCTGCGGTTGGGCCCGCGTCGGCCGCTACGGCCTCCGGTCTCGGCCGGTGCTGCCCTACGGTCGTGTTACCGTTAGAGGGCGGCTTCCGGTGTCACGCATCGGGTGGGACGCGGCCTCGCGGCGCCGGCGCCTGGCGAGACAGGCGCAGCGTGCAGGCTCTGGAGCCTGGCGCAGGCGCGGCCAACGCTGATGACAGGCAGAGTCCGAGGTTAGAGTGCCCAAAAACCTACAACACCATCTAATGCCGCGCGTGGCCACGTGCGCTTTTTCTCAACTATTGACACGTCTTGGCTTCGTGTCGGAGCTTTGCATCGTGTGCAGTTGAGTACATTCTGGCTAGCTGCTGCTATCCTGCATGCACGTTAGCAAATTGCTTGGAAAACAGTGTTAAGTTTTCCTTGTCTTTGCGGCGACCATGCAGCCGATTTAACAAGCTCGTTGCGCGCATGGCCTTCGCTTCCAGAGTAGTGGCATGCAAAAGCACTAGTTCATATCACACAGAGATCTGTGGGTAACAGCATGCCCTGCAAACGCTTTGAACTCCCAAAATTTTTAGTTTGTGCTTTTCACAAAACAGCGCAGAACTTGCAAGAAACATTGCTATACACAGAAACATTTACAAAACATATCCATGCAGCAGTCCTGAATCCCAGTAGAAAACATACATTCACGACGAATTTAGAAAAAAAAACATTCGGCTTATTGCATGTAACATAATATCTGGCGTTATCCTCGCTGCCGTGCTCCGTGATGTGTCGATCTGTCCTGGATCCATATCGGCAGTGTCCAGCGCGAGGTCCAAACCTCCCTGGGTTCACACCGGCGGTGTCTAGGCCGGCGCTGCCGCGGTCTGCAGCGTTCAGATCGGACGGAGTGCGTCGCAGTCCTCGAGAGCTGGTGTTCCGATCCCACTGCGGTGCAGTCCCCGAGGGCTGGTGTTATACTTCAGCTGCGGTGCAGTCCCCGAGGGCTGGTGTTATACTTCAGCTGCGGTACAGTCCCCGAGGGCTGGTGTTATACTTCAGCTGCGGTGAGCTGCGGTGCAGTCCCCGAGGACTGGTGTTATGCTTCAGCTGCGGTGCAGTCCCCTAGGACTGGTGCTATACTTCAGCTGCGGTGCAATCCCCGATGACTGGTGTTATACTTCAGCTGCGGTGCAGTCCCCGAGGACTTGTGTTATGCTTCGGCTGCGGTGCAGTCCCCGAGGACTGGTGTCACGCTTCAGCTGCGGTGCAGTCCCCGGGGTCCGTGTCACGCTTTAGCTGCGGTGCAAATTCTGGCCCGTGTCTGGCTGGCCTCCTGACATGTACGTCATGGATTCATGTCGTCGTTTCATGGATTTGCGGAATCCTGTACAGTTTTCTTGGTCGCCCAAAAATATTCGATATTTCCATTTCCGACGCGACGCATATTATATCTTGAATGAAATATATCTAAACAGCCCTGAATCGGCGTAGGTTCTTAAGACGGATGTGAAATTCGTGCCAGTAATATCATGGCGTAATAAACCGTTGCGGAATGTAATTTCCGGTAGCAGCCCGCCAACCCAACGCGCAATGAGTGGCTACATTATCAGTCCGTCGTCGTGCTACCGGCTCAAGCGCACCACACTCCGTCCCACACTGCCACCGAGCAGTCCCCCTCGTCCACACGAGCGTGACAGGCGAGGCCGAACATGAGCCCACGGGTAGCCACTTCACTGAGCCAGCTCGACTGACCTATCAGGCCCGTCGAGCCGATATGGCTGCCCCATCGGGCTAAACGTGTCCCGCGCCGCCGTCTCGTCGGACCGGACGCCGTCGGCGGCCATGGCAACCGCCTCCGAGCACATCTCATGGCAGGCAGGCCCGAAGGAACTTGCCAGACTGGAACAGCCAGAAACCGGACAACTGTCGGCTTAGCGTGCTCTGTTCTTGACGAGGCCTCGACCGCGGCGTTTACGGCCGGGGCCTGCTGGCCCACTAAGCAAATAGGGGGTGTTAATGGAGTCGACAACGCGAATCTTCCAGCTATGTGGGGTTCCAACATTTCCACGCAATCTTTGCTCAGAAGTGAAGTCATTAGACAATTATCGGCAGCTGTCCATGTCGATAACAGTAATTATGGTCGGAACTAGCGTCACAACAAGCATGCGAGTTGTCTTGTGTTGATGCCACCAACGTTAGTTATGTCCCCCCTCAATGCGTCTAATTTTATGAAACGATGTGCCATTCCCTCGAAACGACCGGAGCTCTTTGGAACGTCACCACTATGAATGGCGGATGCTCTGGGTGCTTCCTTCTTCGCTTGCACCGCTGTGGTCGAGCGGCCCTGACTGGCTTTGGCCGTCGGCCTCGGAGCAGCACGAGCAGACACGGTGCCACCACCACGCGCGGCCGGACGTGCCGGTTCCGGCGAACCTCAATAGGGGGCTGGTGTATTGCACCGCCTTCTGTCCCCTATCCGACCTTATCCATACACGCTCTCTCCTCGCTCACTTATCTCACCCAAAGCGACCGGCAGCCCACCTGTGCAAGCTCTCTGCCCCCAGCCGCGCGTCCTCCTCGAGAGCGAGCCTGGTGCCGCCACTGCGCGCAGCCCACACGGCCCGGCGTATGTGGGTCAGCCGAGAGCGAGACTCTGTTGTGATGACGGCGTGGCGCGGGAAAGCCCGGCGCCGGACCACCCCTCGCCGTCCGGGACCTTGCCCGTGCGGTGCCGCGCTTTTTGTGTCAGCCACCCACCGGCGGCTGTGAGATTGGATGGCGGTCGGGAGGCGCAGCGACGCTGGTTAGTGCCGTCATATCTGGCCTGGGGTCAGTCCGGAGTGACTGATGGGGTCATGGTTGGCGGGAGTGTCACCCAGTGATGCACAGATGGATCGGCGGTGAGGGCAGTAGCTTATGAAAGGGGTTTTCTCATGCCGTTAGGTTCCGTTCAGTCCGGTTTGGTTAGCCTCAAAGACAAGATCAGCGTATCATATCCGCGTGCCTTCTCTTAATTTCAGTCAAAAACTGATATGCCGGTCGCAATTATTATAATTATTTCTTCTGCAACGTTCACAATGGCGTCGCAGCCGGATATTTGAAGCACAGTTCGCCGTTGCCATTGCCGTAAAACCCCACGCTGCTTATGGTACACGGCGTAATTCCGACCAATCCGATTTCTGGGTGGCATTGGGACGCAGGCGGCCTAGGATAGGGGCAGCGCCTGCCCCTGGTCGACGGTGGTCGTCGCCTTCCATGCCAGGAGGTTGTCCGCACGGTTTACGCGAGGGCCCAGGACATGTACCCAGTCCAAGGAGCCCGACTGTGGCCCATCCGAAAACGCAGCCCCCTCGCCTCAGCCACGCTTCTACGAGATTGCAGCCTTAAGTCGACGCTGTCTCGTGTGCCGCGGCTCTGTCCGACCGGCTATACACCACGCATGACCTGCCCCGCCTCCGCTGACCCCATATCGTGGAGACTCGGAGTGGCGCGGGTCACGTGCATGTCAATGAAGCGGCGGCACTCCAGCGGGCCGTCTCAGTGGCGTACGCGGCGCCTGCTGACGGGCCGGGCGTGCATGTGCGGCGATCCTCCCGGAGCCTCGAACAAGTGCTGGTTGTTCGCCACCCGGTTGTGCTGTGATTGGGCGGCCGACTCACTGGTTTGGCCACACGCTGTGCATATGCACCGCTGCGGGATCCACTGACTCAATGGCGTGCGGCCCCGCGTGCGGGCTCTGTGTTCTGATGCTGGCATGCATCAGTCGACCATCGGGCACGGCTCCGAGCGTTTTGCTCTGGTAAGCTGTCGGCATCTTTTACAGTTCGAGAGAGCGCTGCTGAGATTTGCGACTGTGGTGCCAGCTATGTGAGGGATTTCCCAGAAACATCTTATCCCTTACTGCAATGGAGACGTGAGACCACCGCAAAAGATGTGAGGAAATTTTAAGCTTGGTTGGTTCTGCTGCCGCCGGGCGAGACAGTATACCATCAGCTCTAAGAGGACGAGAAAGGCTACATTAATTTGGCATCGAGCCCTCAGATTGAGGATACACATTTTTTAATGAGATTTAAAATTAAACTTTGGATTGGTCGATGACAGAAGACCATCTTTGACTAAAAAATAATGTTTCATGAAAAGGGAGACCATGTTTATGTGAATTATAGAGATAAGTGGGATGAAATAAGACAAAATTATAAAAAAAACTTTTCGAGCTGAACTAAAGCGTAAGTAGTCCAAGCTCCTGTATCAAGTACAAATTCTCTCAGAATGCCCCTCCCTCAGTTTTTGTGAAACGAGGTCACGTATTCCGTACTCTGTCAATATCATATGACCTCTATGCTTGCAGGATGATGCTTCGGTCGATGGCCAACCACCTAGGCTAGTGCCGGCAAGCAACAAGTACAGGTAAGCAAACCGTGGCGTTGTTGGGAGCCTGTCCGCTTTCCAATCTCCTGTCACCAGTGCTCATTTCCTGTCGACTTCCTGTGGTGTCTGGATCTAGTGCTGGGCGGCAGTCGGCATCACAGATCTGGCACGGGGTAGGAGCCGGCATCACGGATCTGGTACCTGGTGGCGGCCGGCGTCACGGGTCTGGCACCTGGTGGCGGCCGGCGTCACGGATCTGGCACCTGGTGGGGGCCGGCATCACAGATCTGGCACCTGGTGGCGGCCGGTGTCACGGATCTGGCACGGGGTAGGAGCCGGCATCACAGATCTGGTACCTGGTGGCGGCCGGCGTCACGGGTCTGGCACTTGGTGGCGGCCGGCGTCACGGATCTGGCACCTGGTGGGGGCCGGCATCACAGATCTGGCACCTGGTGGCGGCCGGTGTCACGGATCTGGCACGGGGTAGGAGCCGGCATCACAGATCTGGTACCTGGTGGCGGCCGGCGTCACGGGTCTGGCACCTGGTGGCGGCCGGCGTCACGGATCTGGCACCTGGTGGGGGCCGGCATCACAGATCTGGCACCTGGTGGCGGCCGGTGTCACGGATCTGGCACCTGGTGGGGGCCGGCATCACGGATCTGGCACCTGGTGGCGGCCGGCGTCGCGGATCTTACACCTGGTGGCGGCCGGCGTCACGGATCTGGCACCTGTTGGGGGCCGGCATCACGGATCTGGCACCTGGTGGGGGCCGGCATCACGGATCTGGCACCTGGTAGCGGCCGGCGTCACGGATCTGGCACCTGGTAGCGGCCGGCGTCACGGATCTGGCACCTGGTGAGGGCCGGCGTCACGGATCTGGCACCTGGTGGGGGCCGGCGTCACGGATCTGGCACCTGGTGGCGGCCGGCATCATCCATCTGGCACCTGGTGGGGGCAGGCGTCACCCATCTGGCATAGACTGTGCTTGGCAAGTCGTACATTTGCTATCAACCTTAAATATAAACATAGATGTGCTTTATGGTATTTGTAAATTAGGAAAGATTATCATGGCGTACGCAACGTGTTCGGATACCGGAACAGCCATATATTTCATGACCTTCCGGATCCTACATTACGCTGAAACTTATTAAGATTCAATCATCTTGCTACAGCGCAGTCCGCGGGCTTTTTAACCACGACGCTCTGATTAAAGCCGCAACCCTTGGTCGCGCCATAATTTTCCTATTGTCGGCCTGACCATAATCTGTCGTCCATCCATGACCAGATCTTCCAGTGGCAAGTCCTACCAGGTAAATTTGCAGCAAAAGAGGAAAACGAGTCATTTCCTGGTCACACCTGTGGCGCTGGCCACTGCCGGCAGTTGCTCTGAGCCATGACACAGAGGTCAGACCGCAGCGACAATGACCGCCGTGCAGGGTGCAGGAAGCGGTCTAACGGAAGTGGGGCACCTGCCAACGGTCTCCGTTTGGAGCGCCGGCCTGGCATGGGGACCGAGCGTCGAGCCCTGCGCGTGATAGACGTGCGTGCGTGCCGTCTGCTGCTTTAACTGTTTGCATGTTTCGCCCGTTTTACTGTCATTTTGCTGGCATAGCTTCGAGTTCAAAGGTTATCGCAAGGACCTATGGACAAACGGTGCTTCATGAGTTAGTGCACGCGATTTCTTTGATCTGTCCTCTCCTGCTCCGCTTCACACATACCGGAGGCAGTTAAGATTCTGGGCCAGCGTGGCACCACGATTACGCAATAACTGACTTAATCACGGGCTGTGATGGGTCTAAAATCTGACTGCGACGGGGAGGCCGGCAATGGTGCTTCTGCTGCTCTGCGTCTGGTGCCAAAAGGCGTCTGCGTCGTTTTCCGCTGAGTCGGAAAGTCCGCAAACACCTCGTCAGTCCTTCCAACGCTGTGTTCTAAATGAATCAAGAGCCTTTTACTATTCCGACACGTTTGCCCTAGCTGTCTCATTTCGGTCATGCACTTCCGAACCAACCCCACGTCATGCTTCCGCATTGCAACCTTGTCGGGATGCCTTCGAGGCACCGCGTGGCGTTTCGCGCCTCGATCTGTTCATGAAACGCTCGTTTCCAACACAGACGCGTCGGCCGCCGGCGGGCAACCGCCCAGCCCGGCGGGGCAGTGCCACTGGAGACAATCGTGGCGCGCCTAAACGCATGGCGACACGGCGGCGCCGGCAGCGGCGGTCGGCGTCCGCCGGCGAGTTTCACTCGGAGAGTTTCCCCGCGCTGACCCTGATAGCTCCCCAGCCGTGGCCGGTGTCGGGCGCGCGCCAACTTTTTACAAGGCGCCTCCACCGGACGGATCGCAGTCTGGAACGGCGTTTCGCTTTCGGATGTCGCGAATTATTGTTTTGGGGGGTTTTGATGCGTGAAGTGATTCACGCCCCATTTAAGCTCACATGACGTTCTCAAAAAAGTGGAGCGTGGCGGGTGCTTGGCGGCTTCGGTAACGACCCTTGTCATTCGGCCCTTATGCATCCAGTTCCGTACTTGAACTTGAGGGATGGTGGCCGACAAGTAAAACTGAAGCGCACAACATTGCTACTTCAGATCGTTTATCTGTTTTGTTTTTAGAAAGCTTGTGGTCGTGACGAGGGTCAAGAGAGGCATTCGCTTACGCGTGCATTTCAACGCGGTTTTTTGTGTGCTTTAAACTGGCTGTGATATACTGATCTAATCGGACTCACCGCAGGCGGTTGGTCCTTTGTTAGAGCTACGTGGGGTGATCGTTGTCAAAATATGTCGGGCCTCGCTTATCTGTTATCTGTCAATAATGTTGTCACAACTCACCCTCCTCCGTCCTCGTCCATCTTCCTTCTACCCGTCTGACCCCTCCTCCCTCACGCTGACCAGAACGAGTCCATCCGCTTCTGTTATTCTTGGCCCTTCGCCCTTTTGGACCTGTGGTCGCTCTTTCTGTCGTAGTTAACTGTCGAGCCGTCCGTTTCAGAAGCGGTCTTCAGCTTCATGACTTGAAACATGGCCGCGTCCTCGCCACCCGAATGGTGTGGCCTTTAAACGCCGCGTCGCACCCCCTCCCCTGCCCTTCGCCGCTCAGGGTTGAACGGGCGCGCGTGCTAGTGGGCATCGCCCGCAGCCGCGCTTTCCTTGAGGCCAACGTCCGGCGCTTGAACTCAGTATTCTCGGTGTGTCGAACTTCCGGGAACGGACCCTGTAGACAACGGCATCGTGCGAATATTTTTTTTTCTGAATGTAAGACTTTCGTTGAGGGGCGTTTTTCTAAAGTAAAGATAAAGAAATCATAAGCTTTGTGCTACTGATGCGACGGCACAGCTGGGTACCTAAACGGCTGACGTCCAAGAACTGATGTCATTTGGCTCGTGTACGCCCCTTTCTTGGAACCAGTGCGCCAACCGAAAAGCATTGCAATAAACACAGCAGCGGTCTGTGCTATGAAATCGAAGACTGCAGCTCGCTACACGAAAGAGATTCAGCCAGCTCCAGCTCCCGGAAACATCCATCATCACGTGTGGCTGATATGACAGCCATGTTCTTGATTCCTCCTGCGATCCTGCAATCGATCAGGCTAGGTCATGAATAACCCGTGTATTTAGCTTCTACCTCTGGTGCGTTGTAATTTCCAGCGCCTCTCCAGCCAGCGTCTGGCATCACTTTCCATTGGCAGCCGGTCGCCTTTTCACCCAGCGGCCCGACCGGTTGGGGCCCATCTGGGCTGCAGGCAAGCCTCAGCCGGATGCTGGGAGCTGGGAGCTGGGAGCCGGAACTGCGCGCCCGGCAGCGTCTTCTACGTTTCCGGGAGACGGTGCTTCGAGCCAGCTCTCGCCGATCTGCAAAGCATGCAGTTTTCTAGGCAGTGGGGCCTCAGAGACATAAATTGGCGGGATGACAGAATGAGCTTGACCATGGCGTGCCGGCCGGCTGACGACCGTCGTGTGCTAACGGTGTCTGCGTTCCCTCAAGCCCAAAAATGGCTCACCGCGTTTGGCACCTGGCTTTGGTCTGTGCTTTTTACACGACGTATCCAGCAAATTATTCGGACAGTTCTGGGTGAAAGCTCACGTGAAATGCTTCTACATCAAAGAGCATTGCTCCATTTAATGATGCTGATGGACCAAACAGGAATCATCCCGCACATTCAAAATTTGGCTGATGATTGTATGACGTCCTGGCTCATAAATCTGGCTGATGATTGCATGACGTCCCGGGTCATAAATCTTACTCGTCTTTGATTCCGTATTTTATCTGACACGCGTGCACCTCGAGCCCCTTTGCTTTCTTCGGTGACGTTCTTGCAGTCGGGGCACTCCACGTGTGAACAAATTTTGCACACAGAAGATATAGCGTGTCCTTGGCTGCCCATCGTGATTTCCTCGAAGTGGCGTGAGCTGCTGGCGCGGCGCCTCCTCGCTGCACGGGGTCCTTGATCTTGGACGTGGAATTTCGCTGGAAACCAGGAACAGTTCAATGCCCGGCCGGACACAATGCCGTCTGGCCTTGATGATGCGTCATACCAGTTGACTCGATGCAGGAAACACATGCGTCTAGCCGGCTTTAGCTGGCTCGCTGCAAAAGCTGTGGGCCATGCACGCACGAGTTGCACCTTTCATGGCTGCCCGGTTTCCGTGCTCTTGGTAGCTGGAGAGCGCATGCTGTTTCCAATAGTCACGCTAATCTGTGACTTATGTTTATGCATATGCATATGTCTGCTCTCTGCAAGATGCTAGAGACCACGTGCGTCTTGCCAGCAAAATAGGATCTCATTGTTTGTCAACACACGGTGATCGTATATTCCGCATCTTTGGTGGCGCCATGATGTATGAATTTGCCGGGTGATATATACGCATACTTTAATACAGTTTCACCAGCTCATGACCCCGATAATCTGTCAGTTTTACGGGCACGTTGTTTTTCAAAATAAGGCATGCGACACTGCCAACCAGTTTCCTCTGTTATCGCCTGTTGTGTTCAACGACTGGGAAGCTCTTTTGTGTGCAGGGACAATCAGTTTGTGGCCCAACACACTTTAAATCCAATTTTTGGTCACATCCGCTGAGAAGAGCCTGCTAAGCAGCTTTGTGTTAATGAAAGTACCAGGTTATGTTCAGGTTAAACAGCATAGATTCGGGTACCTAATTAACAACAACAACAATATCCAGAGCATAGTATGCGAGCGTGTGTATGCTCTTGCACATATTGCAGAGTGTTTGTCTTTAAAATGTCGATTTAAATGTTTCTGGCTTGGTAGAATTCCCGCGATACATGCTCTTTTCGTTTGCATTACTTCCGCATTTAAGATCATCTTAAGAGGAGCTCAAATACAACGGCTGGCATAGACAAGAAACTGGAACAACATCTGCATCCCCAAGGCCGTGCCTTTGGACAGCTCATGATTCGCACTTCCTTTAGACCACAAAAAGGACGCCAATAACTGGCCCTCGTCTGATGAACGCTTGGGCCGACGGCGTCCACCGCGCGCCCTCCCCGCTAACTGGCGCCCTTGACATGACGCCCACCTATTGCAGCCGCTGAGTATGCTGATCGCTGGTGACCAGGTCGGCTGGAAGTGGTCCACTGAGCCGGCCGCCTCGCCATGAAGCTGTATCAGCAGACGTCGCCCGACTGCGTGCAGGCTTGGACGCGGGAGGACTTCGGCTTCAGCGGCGACGCCAAGGCCGGCCTCGCCACCAGCCTCGAGCACATCTTCCCGCCGCAGTCGCCGGCACCCTCGTCGTCCACCGCCTCGTGTGCGGCCTCCTCCAGCTTCACAGAGCTGAAGCCGGTGCCACCGCTCAAGGCGCTAACCCAATGTGACTATGTGGGGAGTTCGGGTGAAGCGGCCGGCTCGCCGGGCTACTACCCGGCACCCGAACCGGGTCCCGGCACGCCTGAGGTGGTGTCCACCACCACCAGCGGCATGGGCGAGCTAGGCGAGTCGGTAATGATGAAGCCTGCCGAGCCGGGCACGCTCGAGACGTTCCCGGCCGCTGACATGGCCGACGACGACTTCGCCGCCATCATCGGCAACGCCATGGTCGACCCGCAGCTGGTCGTGCCCGAGAACATGGACCTCGGCAACTTCACCAGCTCGGACATGCACGACTTAGAGGCGTGGATCGATGGCCAGTCGCAGGCGCAGCTGCAGCGGTACGGCGCCGCCAGCCAGGCGCACACCGCCGCCGTCCACCCGGGCCTGCCGTACAGCGCCGCCAGCCCCATGCTGCAGAACCTGCTGTCAGGCCACAGCTACGCGCCACCGCGCACCGCGCACCCGCCTGGCTACGGTAGTCTGCTGCAAGGCGGCCAGCTACACCAGCGCCTGCAGCGGCCGTTGGCCACCTACAGCCCGCCCAGCTATGCGGCCAGCGGCGGCGAGACTCTCGCGCAGCAGGCCGAGTCGGGCACCAGCGCCAAGAAACGGCGCGCGCTTGCGCGCTCCTTCATCAAAATGTCGATCGCATCGGAGGGCACCAAGGACCGGCCTATGCACCGCTGCACCATCTGCAACCGCGGCTTCCTCAACAAGAGCAACATCAAGGTGCACCTGCGCACGCACACCGGCGAGAAGCCGTTCAAGTGCGAGACGTGCAGTAAGGCGTTTAGGCAAAAGGCGCACCTCATCAAACACTATCACATCCATAAGCGCATCAGCAGGGACTGACGTGGTGGCCATGCGGTGGGCGCGTTCGGACCCGGTGGTGCGCGTGAGTGGTGCGCGCGCACATCGATCTTTCAAGGCTGGCCACGGCCGCCGCGCCGCGCCCGGAGAAAGCCGCAGCGACCTACTGACGGGTCAGCAGCGGCGTGACTTCCCGTGTCGCCACGCCGCCGCCCGGCATGCCGGGAGATGTCCCACCGACCCCCTCCCCCGCCTCACAGTCACCCACGGCCCCGCTTCCGGGGCACGTTTGGACCAACTTCCGGTTTGCGTGGCCGCCGCCGAACCGGCTCAGCCCAGCCCGACCCGGTGCGGCCGGCTGGCCGACCGGCGACAGCGGTCTGGTTCGCATGTGGGTCAGTTGGATCCGGAGGGCTCGTATCTAGGCCGATGCCCTGCACGGCCACAACACGGCTGATGCGCATGCGCAGAACGCGGCGACGAGCGGGTCAGACGCCGGGCGGAAGACAGGAGGTGGGATTCGTAGGGTGATGGGGAACAGGGGTTAGTCACGGACCGTGACATGCGCTAAAGACACATGTCTCACAGGAGGATGTTTAAGTCGTGGCCTGAGCGGCTGTCAGCAGGAGGGACCCCTGCCTCTTGCGAGGTGCTTTCTGGCACGTACTTCAACTGCGATCGCGGCTGAAGCCTTGAAGAAAAGCAGTATGCTGTGTCTGGACAAAGCCACTGCAGCTTAAGTTTGTATCTTGGCTTGGAAAAGTTTATTCTAATCGGTTGCACGCTCTGCACAAAGCCCCGCACAACCATCATCCTACTGCAACGCGCCGTTTCAGCTGTATCATTTTCGTCTGCCGGCTGGCGCGGAGTGGCTCTGGAATCAGATGGGGTCGGTGAGGCGCGCGCAAGCATTCCGGCCAGTGCTGGCATCCTTCATGACTCGCGGTGGAAAGCCGTTGTCCCAGATAACCGTAACACTTCTGGCCGGCGGGTACGCTGCGCGCGCGCGCGCGCGGGCAGGGCGGCGGCAGCGGCGCCGAGTGGGCCCGCAGCTGCCCACGCCGGCGACGGTCTGGAGTCACCCCTGTCGACCCACGGTCGACCCCGCGGCGGCCGGGGTAAGGCGGCCCGGCACCGGGAGGACTCGAACGGCACTGCGACGCGGACCGCACTTGTTCTAATCCAGGTCAGCCAACAAAGGCAGGCGAGTGACACAGAAACGCGCTGCGTCTCGGCGCAACGGTCAGTTGCGCCCCGTAAGTGTTCTGTCGTTGAGCTACCGTCAACAGAGCGCACAAAAAATGACGCCACACATCCACCGCGACTTCGGGACAACGCAGGATTGGCGAGTTATTGCGACTGGAGCTGGTGGCTGGGCCAAAGCATGCAGTCGTGCATTTGCGGGGGTTTCCCTCCTGCTGAGGTCGCTGATGGTCAGCGGGGGCGATGCCGGGTGAGAGGGACCAAGGGGCCGAGCCGTTGTGATAGGGGCCAGGTAACGCCCCGCCCACCCAAGGAAGCGCCCTTGGGCGCGCTGAATGACATAACAACTCCGTCCTGATCGGTACAAACGAGGACGGGTGGGCGATGCAATCACTGACAGTGCCCGCCCCCCGTCTGTTGTTAACTTGTTAAATTACCGTCGTCTATTTATACTGTTGTTGCTGACTCCACTGTAGAATCTCTTCGAGTGTGTATGCAGTGTTTGATCGGTGATGTGTGACCTCCCACCGGTGGGCCGGGTCACTTTGCATATGCATGTGTGTTTGTCGGTGCTGTGCGCCGATCTCTTGTTGATTTTGTTGTTGCAATGCCAGGAGTGATTTTACTCTTGGGTCCAGATAGCGTAGATGCTTCTTCCAAGCAGTGCGATGTGTTCTTGTGACGGCTCAGCTCTAAACATTGCACGAGGTCTCAGATATTTGTGCTCTGAGTGGTTTTGCGGTCGCCTCAATTTAGTCACAATGTGTTCATAATACATGCGAAAGAGTAGCTTTTGTAATACAGAGTAGTTTCCGGGCGGAAATATTGACCTGTTTCGATGGCGCTGCGTGTTTCATTCTTCTGGCGTCCTATCTATCATTCTCCCTTGCTGTTTTTCCAGCTATAGCTGTATGGTTGTGGAGACGCAGGAAATGTGCGAATAAAAATCAATTTTAGACAAAAACCTTGGTTTGATTCGGCATGCAACACCTTTATCTCTGAACTCTCTCCTTGTGTTGTGCTTTTCATATCTTTCTTAAAACTATTTTGCTTGGTTCTTCACCGCCCCAAAACTGTTCGCTGTTCTATTGCTCGTGAGTTGATCATGAAAGCAAGACCTCCCGAGCTTTGACACAATTTCCAGGCACCATCATCTGTGACTTTGGGCCGGTGTGTGGGAATGGACTTTATTTCGATCACAGTTTACTTCGCTCTTAGTCTTGCTCATGTGCTTTTTCCTGGAACGGAATGGCAGAGCAATTAGGTACTACCTGTTTTATTGTCTTCCTTTGCTTGATTCCGAAAATCCTTGCAATATACGCGCAGAAGGTTTTGCAGGTGAGCAAAAGAATGTGATCGGCGACGCAAGGTGAGAAGGTGAGTTCTCATCCATCACCATGTTCTGAAGAAAGGCGTGGCACATTCACCGGTGTGTGTCAGCTGTAAGTTGACATCAAGCCAAGAAAATAGAATCAATGCAGTGTGTCATTGCTGTCTTGTTCAATGTTCCTGACACTTAATCATTGCGCGGCCCACATGTGTCGTCCGTGTCATAGGACAAGACAATGTTGATGTTCCTGTAAGCAATGGATCAGCTCACTGTGATGTTGCGGGTAGTGATATTGCGCGTGTGCTGTTCTCGCGCACAAAACTGTAAGGATGTACCAATTATAATAAAACTAGAGGTAGCAGTCTCGTGTCATGTCATTTCGTCAAAAAGTGCATCATGCGAGTCAGAGGATGGCTTATGTCAAAGGGAAGTGAGATGCCAAAGTCAATGCGCGCATCACTTTTGATGGCACATAGCGAGCAAGGAAATTACATGGTAAGCACGAAGTTCGGTAGCAAGTGGCTTGCGTGTCAGCCCGCATATATATATACATACATATATATATATATATATATATATATATATATATATATATATATACGTATTTTCCTGCATAAACGCAGGATCATGATCATGTGTTATGTATACTTGAAGTAAGACAATGAAAATAAAAACAAAGAAGATTAGAATACAAAACGATATGGATGGGCTGAATCTCCGAGGCAATATATTTACCCCAAGGTCAATATTCTACATATTCAAGCACGCGTCATCTTTCAGTCAGTACACGATGCACCAATCACTGCAGAGGCCAGCAGATAGCAGCCCTGACTAAGCCTAGGTCACTGGTGCCGTCACCAGTTGCCCTGACCTTACAAGTCCGACACGCCACTGCCCATTAATCTTTTCCGGTATCGAATCCCAGTTTCTGGGACGCCGCTCCAAGGCTCTGGTCTGGATCAGCCATGAACAGCACCATCATTGGTTTCCCTCGGACGCAGACCCCTGGCACCGCAGCTGGTGTGTCTCCTACTTCGGTCTGATGGTCATACAAAGTTCTCCGATATATGGTTTGAACCTGTTAAACTGGTGATATATTGACGCCACCATGTCAAATATATCGCATCTTGCCAATGGAGCTTTAGGACGCACTCATCTGCGAAGGCTTTATGTCGTCACTTGCCTCCCACTCTGGCAGGAAGGGCGGGCAACGCAAGAAATCGAATTTGGTTTTCCAGACGCGCATCTTAACCACTTCACTACCGCCACCCCAGCTCAGATACCGTGAACCTGAAACTTAAATTGCAGATCATACAGAAGTAAAAGCGTTCTTTTCCGTGGTAAAAAAGACAGGAAAATGGAGAAATATATATGTTGATATTTCGGGAGCATGCCTTTTTCGAAACGAATAGCAGCAATAGATTCAAAATTGCCTGCCGATGATCCTACTGTGTTTTTTTCAGTTTTTGTTCCTTAATCAGTGGGCCACAGTTTCTACAGGTCACCAACAATTAGGAAATTACACAAGGAGCAGTTGCCAGCCATTTCAACGATCCAGTGCATATCTAAGAATTGGAAAAAGAAAAAAATCATGTAAATGCCAACGAGTTTAGGTAGGCAGGTATTACGCATTACGCTTCATCCAAATGTGTAAGCGGTTTCAAGTACACAAGCATCACATATTGCGCATTACTTATCCATGCAAGCGATTTCAATTAAACTGGCATCGCGCATCACGCGTCAGGCATTGCTCATACACGTAAACAATTAAGCTACCACGCATCACACATCAAGGCACTTATCAAGTTCGCATAATCGGCCGTGGTAAGCCCTGAGCGTTACGTTCTTGTCCTCAGCTCTTCATAGGAATAATTGACTTATTTTCTTGCCTAGATGGCCTTGTGCTCTGTAGATGACTTTGAGCTCAAAAAGAAACACAGGGTCCATATCTTCCTGGGTTTCAGCCTGAGCGTGTTTAGTCATAAAAAGGTCACAGAAAGGGCATTCTGTTTTATTTTTAGTTTCTCGCAAGTGTTCATTATATACAAAACAAATAGCGCATTCACTTCCCGGTATGGACCATGTCTCCAATTTTTTTCACACAGTCGACACGTAATTTCATGAGCAACGTTCAAAGGGTCTGCACGCAAAGAGCACGGTTTACGAAATTCAGTTTAAACTGTATGTAAAACATGGGATGTCTATTTCGGGGAGTTCATACGCCCTGAGCGTTTGAGATACAATGAGCACCTGCACGCTAAAATAAAACAGAGAATACACCTTTCGGTGGCCTTATTTTTTTTTGGCTAACTATCCTCAGGCTGAAATTGAGGGAAGTATGACCATTATGCCCGTTTTAGAGCTCAGTCACCTACAATGCACAGGATTATACGGACAGGAAATTAAGTAAATCTTTTCTTATAAAAGGTCGGCGACCAGACATACAGGCCAGGGCTCATACAGGGCTCATCGTGGCCGATTATGTGAACGTGATGTGTGATGCGTGTTAGCTTAACCGTCTGCGTGTGTGTGTACCCGTATATAATTGCCCGTAGTACGTGCAACCGTCTACGGGCAATTCCTGACGCGTGATGCGCGATGCCAGTTTAATTCAAATCGCTTGCATCGATAAGTGATGTGCTATGTGTGATGTCTGTTTATTTAAAATCACTTGCATATTTGAATAAAGCGTAATGCATGGTGTCTGTTTATTTGAATTCGTTGACATGTACACGTATTTTTCGCGTATTCTAATTCTTAGATGTGCACTATTATCATAGCAATGGCTGGTAGTTGCTCCTTGTTTTATCTCCTGAATGTTGGTGACCTTAAACACGCGTCCGGGTGGCCGGTTGGACACCATTCCCCCCATGGGCGTAGGAACAGGGGGCCAGGGAGGCCATGGCCCCCCGCTTTCCAAGGAGGGAGGCCAGCAATGTTAACCGCCCCCCCCCCCCACACACTTTTCAGATTAAGGTTGCATTTGGCCTATTTTTGCACAGCATTAAACATGCATGCCGATTTGCCCAGTTCATCAGCCATCTCCCTTCAGATGCGTCATCTTTTTCGTTTGACCATTGGCCATCGCTCAGTGTTACAGCCACAAGGCCGACGCCGCACGGCCTGGAAACTGCAACGCCGGGCGTCGAGGCTGTTATTGCTATGACTTGCGAGCACGCAGGTTCAACACCATATTACGTACCTTTCTTATCAGTGATCAGCTCTGACAGTATATTGAGCATTATAAGACGAACGTGGGTAGCCATGTTGATACAAATTATGAACCCCATTTCATCTGCAATCTACAGTCACGGAGAACTTAATATCTCTGAGGAGCGTAGAAAAACATGGAACTGCAGTCTATGTGAAAACTACCGGACTGCCTGCGGTGATCAGGGATGTTGTTGCGTCAACAAGGGCCACTGTGCTGATTCAGGGCTAGCTGTGCGGATCCGAAGGCCTCCCGTGTCAGGAATGGGAACAATGTGGTATGATATATCCTTCTAATGACCTCCGGATGGAGCAAGAGATCCCGCCCCGTGCCACTAGAATGATAGCCAGAAGACACTTCGTGATGGGACGGAATGGCCCTTCAGCCCTTGACCGGAAACGGTAATGTACCCCTGGAGTTCCACTCAAGAAGCCCCTTGCCTGGAAGGGAATAAAGGGTCTCATTATTGTTGAGTAGAGTGGGGCTGTTATTATTGTGCAGGAACCGCGCTATACATCTTCCATGGCCTTCTTAGAGGTCAGGGTAGGTCATTGACCTAAAATTGACCCAGGTCAACATTTTGTTTTAGGAACATACCGCCTAGCGAAATTTTTGTCACTCGGTGAAATACAAAACTCAAAGCAATCTTGTATAATTTTGTCACCTTGACCTTCAAAAGGTCCAACAAGGTCACTGACCTTAGATGAACGTGAGAACTTTTGCTTAGAAACGTTAACTAGATTCTGGGGCTTTTTCAAGACCCCGCGGAGCCCGCGCTTCCTGCCAGGGTGAGAGGCAGGCGACGCCATATAGCCTCAGCAGCTGAGTGCCTCGTAAAGCCCCAATAACACACACACAGACACTTTGGAGACCAGCCTGGAACTTGACCTTGTTTGACCATTTTTGACCCAAAGGTCATAGCGTAGGAGCCTGAAACCTTGACCTAAGTGAGTTCTCGTACAGGTCAATACGCCCTGCAGCTTTCGTGTTTCTAGCTTTCTTAGTTCCCGAGATCTCAGGGGAGGGGGAGGGGCGTTCAGATTGACCCCCACTCGAGCGAAAGGTATCTAGCCGGCCACCCGGGCGCGTGTTAAAGCGAGAAACGTCCCTGCCGGCCAATTGTGAATGCCATTAGAACATTTTCATCCATCCAGACTTTACGCGCTCGACGACATGCAGGTTGGCACGAATGAAAATGGCGCGAACGATCAGCTGATCGGCTGAAGCAACCGATGACCGTAACCGCGCAAGCCCGAACTGCAGTGAAGCAGATTTCGCATGAGACCAAGGGAAATTTATCCGCGATACAGGTATATATAATATGGATGTGATAACAATAGTTTTTTATATGCACAGTTCGTTTAACTGTTTTGCTTAGTCTTTGGTAATGGAGGTAGGTACACCGTGTGCTCAGGGCAAGGGCAGCAGAGAGCACTTGACAGACATCAAGCACAGAGCACATGACGAGAGTGACATCACAATCGGTGTGTCTTTCACTATGGAACAATTCTGGATTGGACAGTTCAGGGAAGGGACACTCTGCGCAGAGAAACAAACACCAAAAGCCTTCGTTGTCATTGGGGCTTTACAACACACTTCGCTACTGAGACTATATGGCGTCGACTGCCCCTCACTGTGAAAGAAAGGGCTGGCACCTCAGGGAATCGAAGCCCGTGTCTCTGGTTTCCCGACTGCGCAGTGGTTAACGCAGAAGCGTTAACAACTAGACTATTGTCACCCTAACCTTCTAACCAGCAGCCTTCTTTTCGGGGCATCATAACATTTATTTCCCAGGGGCACATAATTCCAGGAGGCATCACAATGCCCGTGCCTCTCTATTAACGAGATTACGCATCGGTCCATTCAGCCAAGGGACACCTTTTTTCGGATCACCACAACATTTATGTCGTTAAGACACCAAATGGAAGTGGGCGATTAAAAGAGCGGTTGAAGACGATCCAAAGTTTTCCTTATAAGGGACGCCTTAATACCGGGACGCCACAATATCCCTGTCTTACATTCTGGCAAAATCCTGGTTCGGCACCTTCGGTATAAAAACGAATCAAGAACCTTCATGCCGAGCATCATATTTTTTAGCTTTATGGGGCAACCAATTTCAACTGGAACACCATAAACGGCCAAAACGTTTAT